TTGCACAGTTTTCTTCTGTGTGAATCCCCCCCCCTTTCTTTGGTCTTTTTGAAACAGGGTTTCCCTGTAGCCCCAGCTGGCCTGGAACTCGCTATGTAGACCAGGTTGGCCTTGAACTTACAGAGATCTGCCTGCCTCTGCCTCCCAAGTGCTGGGACTACAGGCATGCACTACCACGCTCAACTACTTATCTTTTGCAACCTCTAATCTACTACTGGATTCTTTTTTTCACACAGGGTCTTACTATGTAACCCTGGGTGGCCTGGAACTCTCTATGTAGACCAGGCTGGCCTCAAACTCACAGAAATCTTCTTGCCTCTGCCTCCCTAGTGCTGGGGTTACAAGTTTATATCATCACACTCAACTAATTAATAAACTTTTGAAACTGTGATTACCTAATGCTGATTATAGGCAGTGAGAAGGTGGTAGCAAATTATACATGTGTGTGTGTATGGCATTTCAGATGGTATATATATATGAACAATGACACCTAACAACATTGTTTATAATAGGAAAGTTATTTACAGGGGTGGGTATGTAGCTCAGTGTAGGATGCTTGTGTAATATGTATAAGACTCTAGGTTTGATTCCTAGCATCACAAAAAAAGATGACCCCTTATCAAATGATGCCTAGAGAAATGGTAGTCAACCCTCTAGATGTATATCCACAGATTCAACCAACTGTGGATGAAAATATTTTTTTAAATTGTATGTATGAGCTGAACGTGGTGGTGCACACCTTTAATCCCGGTACTTAGGAGGTAGATCTCTATGAGATCAAGGCCTGCTTGGTCTCCATATGGAGTTTAAGGACATCTGGGGCTAGAGGGAGACCCTGTCTCAAAAAGACAAAAAAAATTGTATCTGTGCTAAACACATATGGTTATGATTCTCTAAACAATGCAGCACAGCAACTATTTATATAGCATTTGCAATGTTATAGGTGTTATAAGCAACTGTTATCACTAGACAACAGATTGGAAACCCTTTTCCTCTTTGTTAAAAATTCCCTCATGATTAGGATTGGTTGCAGCTGCCCAGGGCGGGATCTGTCCTCACCACTGCAGGTGGGGTGTGAATGTGTACAACTGTTCTGAAGTTCTGTGAATCCTAACATGAAGGTGTTTTTAACAAGATGGGAAAGGGTTTCCAATCTGATGCCTAGTGACAAAGAAGACTTCAAAATTCCTCCATAACCTCAAGTAGGCAAGGGTATAATGTTGTGCAGTAGAGCCAGACAGGATGGTGCACACCTTTAATCCCAGAACTCTGGAGGCAGAGGCAGGCATATCTCTATGAGATTGAGGCCAGCCTGCTCTACATAGCAAGTGTCAGGCCATCTATAGCTACCTGGAGACCCTATCTTTAAAAAAAAAATTGTGCAGTAGAGTGTGGAGAAGCAAAAGGGCCACAGAGGTGCTGGAGGCCAAAGAAGTGAAAGATTGAGGGGAGTAGAGTTTGGTTCTGAAGTACCACTGCTACTCCAGCAGGAGGACCTCCCTGAGGCTTGGGGAGAGTGAAGGTTCGACTGACCGGACAACACATCTAGTGTGGGCCTTGAAAGCATGAGGGGTTTCTAGGACCCCAGGGCTCTGTTAAGTGGAACTCCCTGCTCAGCCCAACTCTCCTGCTCACTGAAGGAGTTAGAACACACTGACTTCTGATGTTGATAGCCAGTGGCACCTACCTTGAGAGATGGGCCTGAGGTCAGATGAACTCTGAAGGTCAACGGAGCTTCAGGCACAGCAGGGTTCTCAAGAATGGCAACAGGGGTCACAGTATTGGAATCAGCCTCTTTTGCATCTTGCAACCTCTGAGGCAGAGTGCTGCACCTTGACATCATGACTGGGGAAACTGAGGCCCAGAGAAGCCAAGTCATTTGTCCAAAAATTAGGTGTGAATCTAACATGCCTGCTCTTGGCCACGGAGAACAGCCATGCCCATAGCAACTGAGGCTGGACTTTGCAGGGGCCCAAGGCCTTCCATCCAGGCCACCTCAGGTTCCCAGCACAATGGTCAGTGACACAGGAGGTCCCAAGATGCTGCTTTAGGCCAGTGATAGCATTCATTGACTTTTGATGCTCACCAAAAAATGACCCTGGGCAATGAGAGCTTAGTACTTCTGTAAACATTTGCTGAACTAGGGGGTGGGGGAGCGTCTTTGACTGTTTCAAAGCCAAAAGATAGAAGGAAGGCTGGTTTTTTACTTCCTTTGACATGAAATCTGTTTGCTAGGAACTTCCCAAAGCCTAAGCCCCAGGAACCTGGAGCTTAAATTTAGATTGTCCATGGAAGGTCAGCGGATCCCCCTGGGGCAGGGTCAGCCAGCAGCTGTTGGAGATAAACTTTGCTTTTCTGCAGACTCAGGTCTTTCTCTCACACAATTAATGAGATCCTGTGCCACTTCCCCTGGGAAGGCAGAACAATGGCTGTGCAGGAACAGGTGGCCTCAGCCAGGCCTGCCTGGTAAGTCCCCCACCAGAGACATGGGATTCAGGTCCCTAGACTGTCCCAGACTCCCTGGCCCACTGTGACACTCTGAGGGTCATACTGGCTTCCTTCTGTCCCAGAATTGGACCACTGCTAAACCTTGTCCCAACTCTAGGGGTTTTATTTATTTATTTTTATTTTGTGGTGCTCGGGATGGAACTTGCTGAGCAAGTGCTCTACCTCAGTGCTATATCACCTAGCCCCAAATGTGCCTAGCACCTTCAGGATCTTGTGCTGGAATTTATTTCTACTCAGCTGGTAACTTCTTGTAATTATGCTGAAATGTCACCTCTTCAGAGAGCCCTTTGCTGCTTTCCTTTCTACCCTGGCTTGGTTGAAGGTTTAGTAAACTTGCTGTACTGTGTGCTCTGGTGAAGACAGTGTCTGGCACACAGTAGATCCTCAAGGAAGGAATGGTGTTTTTCCTGGGTCTGGGATGGGTCATCTGGACCACCTTCATTCTGGGTGTGGGCTTCAGGAGACAGCGTGAGCCCTGGATGCCCTTTCTGGAATGGTTCTACTTCTATTGCATGCTGGGACTCATGAAACCTGAGGTTCCACCAACATGATCCTGATATACTGTGAGGCTGTTATGAAAGGTATGTAGGTTTTCTGGGGCTACCATGGGATGCTAGGCTAAGGACAGTACCAAATGGTAGAGAGGAGGGTAGAGTGGATGGAGGGGAGCATGTCCCACTGGCTGCAGGCCCAGCTAGCTGAAAAGCAGTAGTCTGCCTCTTGTCTGAGACAAATTCATGATAATGATGATTGTGTTGAGACTCTAGACACCTGTAGGGAAGCCAACTGCACAGGTCACACTGGCTTAAACTTCTAGGAGCCCTGCTTGGGGGCTGGCTATAGAGAGGTGTCCTCAAATGGGCCCAGCAATGCAACCTTGCAGAGAAGCAGGATAGGACCTGAGGAAAACACTCTATAGACAGAGAAAGCCATAGGCGGCAGGAAGACCAGTTCAAGGCCCAGAGGATGGTGAGCCTGGTCAGAGCAGGATGCATATGCCTGGTTACACAGAGCCAATCCCAATGCATCTACAGCTGCTCCCATGAGCCATTGGCAAGGGCCTGCAGGGGTAGCCTTGCTGGACAACCTGAGGAGGCTTTAGCAGTTGCTCCAAGAGGACTGCATGGTGCTTGAAGGGAGGGGGTTCCTTGGACTGGAATGGGGAAGCAACATTGAAAGAATGGGGTTGGAGCAGACTGGGGCTGGAACATGAAAGGTTTGTAGAAAAGAAGGGGAGTGATCCATGGTCTCTGAAAGGTGGAAGGCACTGGACAATACGGTGGCTAGGAGTAGGTATCCCACCCTATTAAGAGAGTTGAGTGGGGACAAGGAAGGGTGTGTGTGAGACTCTCCCTACCCCAAGGCCTGACAACTTGTCCTGAGCACCTCCTCTTGTGGGATGAAGCAGGTACTGAGCTGTCACCATTGACCTCCCCTCAGAATTGCCTCAAGGAGAAGGAAGCTGACCCCAGGAGGGAGAGATTAACTGAAGCTCCATATCTGTGGCTGACCTCAACAATGCCATGTTTTCTCTGCAGAGGCCCTGAGTATTTCAGGGCAGAGGGAAAAAAAGCAAAAACAAAAAACCAAAAACTTCCCACCCAGTGGCCTCAGTCCAGGGCTGGGAGTCCAGGGTCAGCTGGAAACTAAAGGTGCTGACTGGGGACAGGGAGGAGAGAGCTGAAAGGGGGCTGGTGCCCTACATGGGTTGTGGGCTGTGATGCCTAATGCCCCCACCTGCGCCTTGGGGGGTCCAGAATGTCCACCCCAGTGGACCTTTCAAGAAATGGCTGGGCCATTGTGCAGAAGAATGCCCGGAAATCCCGCGGCTCCCTCCTCCAGCAAGGATGGGGGCTCTTCCTCCTGGCCAGGAAACTCCAAATTGGCTTCCGGAGGGTGGTCTGGGGGCTGGGGTGGCAGAGAACCACCACCGCGACCACCGGTAGGACGGTAAGGCACAACCCCTTGGTGCCCCTTGGTGATCCTCCGTTGTCTCAGGATCCCAGTAGGCCGTTCCGGCAGCACAGCCTGTGTTAAAAACTGGGGTCTTTGTGAGCGATGCTGATACCACTAGACCGCAGGACGGGGCAGGCAGAATCGCAGAAAGAGCAGCGACAGCAGGCCCGTGTACTGCCCACTTGTTCAGGGCCTGATGCTCTAGGGAAGCAGTGAGTAGTGTGAGTGGTGGGTGAGCAGGGCCTTGGATAAGGTTGCAAGGCTTGCCTGGCATCTCTGCTTGGTGTGTCTAGGGACAGATGGCATAGGGATGCGCAGGCCACTGAGGAATGAAAGTGCACAGAGTAGGTGCGGACTCAGGCTCCAGGCCAGGAGGAAGGCCTTAGGTTTGTCTCACCTGTGCGTAGGGACTGTGAGAAACCATCCCCAGCCTGTTGTATGAGCTAGTTGGCATGATCCGGGATGTTAGGGGATGGAGATCCTCAGGGCAGGCTAGGAGGTATTTAGGGGGTTCCTAAAGTGGTGATACTGGAACACCGGATGACCGGTGGAGTCCGTGCACCCTCCGCAGGCTCCTCAGGTCAGCTCAGAGTGCTCCAGCGGGCACTAGCACAAAAGCGGGTAAGGTCTCAGAGGCTGCGACCCTGCTGGGAGAAAGCCAGTCTAGCCCAACCCGACGTGATTCCTTCAACTAGCTGCCAGGGGGTCCGCGATTGGCTGAGGGCCGAAGGTCTACGTAAGGATTGGCTGCTCTAGCCCGGAGGCTGGGCCTGGGGGGCAGAATCCGCCCTCCGAGACTTGAAATAGAAAGCCCCCAACAGGAGCCGGCAGATCCGAGTGTTGGTGCGGTTGACCCACTAGGAAAGCAGACGGCAGGCGGGTTCCGCCCCGAGGCTTCAGGACCAACGCAGGGCGCCGAGGCCCGCGCACCAGGGAGACCCCAAAGTGCCACCCGGCGCGCATCTGGTCTTTAGCCATGGGGTCTGCAGCGTTGGAAATCCTGGGTCTGGTGCTGTGCCTGGTTGGCTGGGTGGGCTTGATCCTGGCGTGCGGACTGCCCATGTGGCAGGTGACCGCCTTCCTGGACCACAACATAGTGACGGCGCAGACCACTTGGAAGGGGCTGTGGATGTCCTGCGTGGTGCAGAGCACCGGGCACATGCAGTGCAAGGTGTATGAGTCGGTGTTGGCGCTGAGCGCCGAGGTGCAGGCGGCGCGCGCGCTCACCGTGGGCGCGGTGCTGCTGGCCCTGGTGGCGCTCTTTGTTACCCTGACCGGCGCGCAGTGCACCACCTGCGTGGCCCCGGGCCCCACGAAGGCGCGCGTGGCCCTCACCGGCGGTGCGCTTTACGCGCTGTGCGGGCTGCTGGCCCTAGTGCCGCTCTGCTGGTTCGCCAACATCGTGGTCCGCGAGTTCTACGATCCCGCGGTGCCGGTGTCGCAGAAGTACGAGCTGGGAGCCGCTCTGTACATTGGCTGGGCAGCCTCGGCGCTGCTTATGTGCGGCGGCGGTCTGGTGTGCTGCGGGGCCTGGGTCTGCGCCGGCCGTCCGGAGTTCAGTTTCCCGGTCAAGTACTCGGCGCCGCGGCGGCCCACGGCCAACGGCGATTACGACAAGAAGAACTATGTCTAAGGGCGGGAGGCACGGTGGGGCCCCTCCCGGCAGCCAAGCCCGGGGTCCGAACGACCCACCCAGGAACCGCGAGTGGATGGCGATTACCGCAGGGTCACGCAGCGCAGACTCCAAGGCACGTGAGACTGGGCTGGGACCAGACCTGCCCGCGCCCATAGCCGGTCATCTCTGACCCGCACCAGCCCAGCCCTGTCCTGAACAGACGGCAGGCACTGGTGAGGACTTGATCAACCGCCCTTTCTGTGCGCACTTAGCCACGACGTGAGTGGGGCTCTCGGATTTTCAGCAGTGAAGCGGGCTCCAGACTGTAGATGACAGTTTCTACTGTGACCCTGGGGGTTACTGGATGCTGCCTTAATTTCCAGCGGCTCCTGCTGATGAGAGCAGCTGGGTTACTCAGGGCCCCAGCCTGGGCTGCTAGACGGATGTATAAAAAGGGCATTTTCTTTCTTAGCGGGGAGGAGCCCACCGAACTTAAGGTGCTCCCATCTTACCCAGCGGTCCCCCAGGGGAGGGCTGTGGGTACCAGAGCCTTAGCAGGAGCTGCCCTCCTGGCAGCTTGGGGCAGGGCAGGGTGGGGGTGGGTAAGAATTTGCTTAGTAAATGGTTTGAACACTCCCATCGGTGTCCTGTTCTCTATCCAGTCACTCCCTGTGCCCAGCACCTGTTATTCACCCAGCCACCCACCAACCCCTTCCTAAAGGTTCCCATGGGGATTGTTCTCTGATCCAAGTGGGAGATGCAGTTACACTTGCAAGAAGTCAGGAAGGTGGGCAGAAAGTCCCCTGGGGAGTGTTGGGATCAGATAGGGATGTGGGAGGGTGGAGGCAGACCCCATTAGAGGCAAAGCCTAGTAGAGGACTCAAATGGAACCTCACACCATGGGTTTGGGAGTGGGGACTTAGGAGGCAGGAAATGTTGAGGCTGGGCAGCTAGGCTGTTGGCTTCTCCCAGAAAGCCTCCCATAACCTCCCTCCCCACAGCTTGTTCCCTTCCAGGGTTTGCTCAGCTCCAAGTACCATCAAGTGGCTACAGACATCTGTACACAGCATCTGTACACAGCTGGACCATGCCCTTCCCAACAGTGGGTGGGAGCTGCCGTGAATCAAGGCTTGTGCTGCATTCCCCAACTCTGGCTGCAGCACATAACAGCGTTGCTATGGGATGGAGGTGTTTGCCTAGAGCACCTGGGCCTGGCTCCAGCCCTTTGTACTGGCTCCTCTGGTGATTGTAGCTCTACACTGAGTCTGTGTCCACCCTGCTGACCCACAGCCAGCAGGGACTGGTAGTGATAATTAGCACTTTTGTATTACTGGGAACACTACTGTGACCATCCTGGAGGAGGAGGATGAGGGGCTAGGGCTTAAGGAGGGTCCCCAGGAGGGCAAGCAAGCTTTAATAGCCTCAAGAGCTCATTGTTTCTGGCCTGGTTTAGCACTTTTGCTAAAAGGCCAGAAACAGAAGCAAGCAGTGGATGGGGAGGGGGTTGAAAGGAGGTGTTCTAAACCCAGCCAGCAGGAAGGCTTGGCATCTGCCCCCAACCCTGGCCAGAGATTTGCTCAAAGGGCCACATCCAGGATAGTCTCTCAGGCCTGAGTTCTTTGTGGGGTGGGGAGAGGGCAGGACTTTGAGGGAAGCTGTACTTTCCAACGGCCTATGCCCCCCGAGACAGACTCAGTGGGAAACCCCTTTGCATGGAGGTGAACTTAGCCCTTCAGCCGCGTGTGCAGAAGCAGCTCCAAGTTTGGGAGTATGGGATTCTGGAGCGAGCTGGCCCTGTGCCCTAGCAGGGCCAGCACAAGTCTGTAGGCTGTTACCCAGGTAGGTGGTGGGTGCTCTAAGGCACTCCTTCACAGGCGTTCTCCAGTGCAGAGCATGGGAGAGCAGCTGCTCTGCCCTGGCGTTTTTCCAAATGACCAGGGTGGGCTGTCTGAAAACCCTGGCTACGCTTGCCCCAACACACATGCAGCTGGCTTGTAGTACTATTGGTGGTCAGGAGGAGCCAGTCTCCAATCAGTTCCCATCCACTGTACTTTCCCTTTCACTTGGAGGACTCACTTCTGGGCCATTCTCTGTGGACTTCTCCCCACAGACTTAAAACTACTCACTAGTACATGGGACAAGAAGAAGGTAAGTTCTGGGCCAGCTTGGACTACACAGTGAGACCCTGACTCAACAAACTGGAAAAAGAGAAGCTGCCCATGGCTTCTACCTTGTAGGACTACTCCCTCAGGAGCTCAGGTGCCCATGAGTGGACATCTCTTTACAATTTGCCTGCTTCTCCGGCACCCACGTTCCCAGGCAGTAACCAACCACTACTCTCCTTCCAACCCCTCTACACTCAGGTTCGTGTGTGTGTGCGCGCGCATGCGTGCGCGGGAAATGGCCCTACCACTCTAATTAGGAAACCCTAGGTGTTGGAGGTCAGAGGTTCCATCCGGTCTGGGTGTTCTAACTAGGATGTGGGCAATGCTGACAGAGAAACCTGCGACAGTGTCTCCATTCAGATACTGCTCAGCAGCTGGCCTTCCTTGGTCTGTGCACCATCGCTCTGCTCCTTTCCTCCCTTGCAGAGCAGTGTACCCTGTGTGCCTGCAGGGACAGGGCATCTAGACTCGTCCTGTATGGTAGGTTGAAGAACACAGTGAAGGGATGGCCAAGAGGGTGATGCTACATCGGGCAGGCTGGAGGAAGCAAGGGGCAGGCAGACAGAGCCAGGTTCTGCTTAGCACTGAGCAGTGGCCAGTGCAGGTGCTGAGTTGTGAAGAGACTCAGTGCTGAAGGGTTCAGTTTCTGTCCACTCCTGCCAGGAGGGCAGGTAGAGGGACCGTGCTTGTCCTAGGGGCTGAGGAGGTAAGTTGCTATGCTTCCTGTCTGGCATGGCGGATGCTGGAACATTGTAACAAGGTTTTCCTGGACCCAAGGAAGGCTCAGAGCACACCCAAGTGACAGTCCAAGACCAGAGGCATGAGGGAACAGAAGCTCAAACAAGCATTTTATTTTATTAAAAACCACACACTCCCGCACTTCAAATGTAACTTAACAATCTAAACAGAGGCAGGTAATATAAATAAGGAAAAGGAGGTCACTTCTGGAGAAATCAGAATTCTGCAAAACAAAGAAAAGGTCTTATGCAATTCATCCTTTCTCCTGCAATGTACCAAACAGATTGACACGAGGCCCTGCTGTGGTGTGCTGGGCTGCTGCTTCTGAGCAGCCTCAACTCAGGGTGGAGTGTGAGTATGGAGTGGAAGGCCACCCGAGAACCCACGGTTCTCATACACTCCCTGCAGGGAGTGTCACCCATGCTTTTCCCAGCATATAGCAGCCCCCCATTCTCCTCCTCCCAGCTATGTCCATGCCTGGGTGATCAGACACACAGCGGTCTGGTGTCAGAATGCAGGAGAGGGGTCTGCTTCCAGTCAGCCCTGGACTATTCCCCCCCACCCCAACCAGCTCAGCTCCATACTAGCCACCTATAGTCTGAGGGTGGTGTCAGCTACTTTTTGAGTCAAGACCAATTAGATACCTGGCCCAAGGTCACAGTTGACTACCTAAAAATCTCACCAAAGACCCCCTGGGTCCACCCTAGACCCCTCCCCTAATACAGCCCTGGGCGCTCAGGCTACCCTGATTGAACTATGAATTCTTGAGGCCCCCTAGGCCATTCTGTTATCTGTCCCTTATAACTCAGAGCTCACCATGGATGGGGCAGCAGGGACGACTGGGCCCTGGCCTGAGGGGATCCCTGCATCAGAACTTTGGAAAGGCTGCCTGGACAAAGGGAGGCTGGGATGTGGGCATCCATGGTACAGCTTGGGCTGAGATGGTCACACAGACATGGAGGAAGTCCCCCTAGCCCTTTTCCCAAGTGGCCTCTCAAAAAAGAGGGATCACATGGGAGAGTGGGGAAGGCTTCACTGGGGAGATGTTGTGGGCCACAGAGGCCTGTCACTGGCTTGCACTAGGGTCTCTCAGTATACCTGTGTGCCGCTGAAGGCTCAAGCAGAGCCAACACTTTGTGATCTGTAGTTGGGCAGCTGCCAACAGCTTGCTTTCTCAAAGGCTGAGCACAGAAAAACCAAGACTCCTACTGTTGTGGGCTCCAGAGTCTGGGGCCTGTGGATGCAGGAGGCTCTGGGTGGCCTCTGAGGACAGCGCCAGTGAGTCTGTATGCCACATGTGTCACACACACACAGTCCTTAACCCCACAGTATGGTCAGTAGAGAAGAAATCTGAGGTCCCTCTGAGGAGTCAAAGGGGCTAAATGAAATTAGCTTCCTCAAAAACACCCCATTGTGGCCCTGCTGGCAGCCTCAGAACAGACATTCTTGAGAAAAATGTGTTGGCCTGAAATCTCCTTAAGACCTTGCTCTGATCTGAAACTTAAGTAAAAGCCTCCGTTGAGGAAGGACAAAGCAGGAGGCAGGCTCCAGCCCTGAAGACCTGGCCCTCCCCTGCTCACCCTTAGGACAGCAGTGACACGAGGGCATCCAGGAACTTGCTCCGGTCCTCAGCTTTCAGCTCAATTACTGAAGTAATGAAAGGAAAACATCTTGTGAGCAGGGAGGAGAAACAAGGCAGTGCACATGACCTCCCCCTTCTGCTCTCAGACCCAGCAACTCTCCACCACATTCCACACTGCAGGCTCTTGCCTGGCCTTGAATGTTCTGCAATTTTTGGTTTCATCTCTGTGCACTATACTTAATCTTCAGATCTGCTGGCTGCATTGTAAAGGCCGGAGTCTTGGCCTGAAAGGATGCCTGGGCATCCAGGGCCAACAATGTCAGCCAATGGGGGGCTTGGGGGACACGGAACACAAGGTATGTGACAACTCTGATACAAACCTGGACAGGGACTAGCATAAACACCTGTCCACACGGTAACGTGGGAGACCCTGGGAAATGGTGGTGGTGTAGAGGGCTATACCAGTTCTGCTCTGTCCTATGCCTCAGCTTCAATGTCCTCTTCTGGATAGGACACAATATAAACCACTTGTGTTTTGAAGGGCAGTCAGGTTCAGTCAAGCATGATAAAGCAAAACTAGACCCTGAACCTGGCTGGCTTCATCTTGGGAGCTGTCCATGCTGATGGGTGCCTCCCCAGAAGCCTGAGGCCTTGTCTACCCAGGCAGGTACTGGCCACAGCTCCTTCCACACATCCTAGCCCTGGCTCTCCAGCCCTCAGAGGAAGTCAGGCAGCTTGCAGCCCCAAACCCTCCCTTGCATAACAAAGGTAGCTGGAGTTCACTGGCTGGCTGAAGTCAACCTGCCCCCATCGCAGGCATGAAACAGGAGGCAGGAAAAGAAGAAACTGTTCAAGGTGGACCAATGCCACAGTGCCATAGCTACAGCTGCCTACAGCTGCCAGTGCCACAGTTACAGCTGCCTAGCATAAAGAAGTCAGTTTTGAGACAGTGCGGGCAACCTGAATACACATTAGGATTCCTTAGGCAGTGATTTGTTACTGTTAGGGAATTGGTGAGTGGTTGTGACTTAAAAAAATGACCTTTTTGAGAGATGGAGATGAGGTACTGAAAGGTGTGATGGATTGATCAACTGTGTCCCCCAAATTCTTTGTTGAAATCCCAACCTCCAACATCTCAGAATATGACATTT